AATTCTTTTTTTTTTTTTAAGAAAGGAAGCAAACAGAAGATTGATCACACAGTTATCCTTCAGCTCACAGCAATAAACAAGGCCTCAAACCTCCCAAGTACAGGTACTTAACCTGAATACATATTACTAGGAAACAGATGTAAGCCCTTAAAAGTAGTAGGAATTTACATTTCTTAACAGTCTTTAGAAAAAAAATAAAGCAGAAGAGTGAAATTAAAGGGAATATACAATATTTTAATTTCATTTATTCAGGTATTTTTGTCAGTAGTAAGATTTTCACTGATACTTCAGCAACTATCAGTCACCATATTTTAATGTTAAAAGAATCCCTTTAGTTTAAAACAAACTGAGTATTTGCAAACAAATTTGAGGGTGCAGCAGAGAGAAGTAATAAATTTCCTGCATGTAGAATTGTACATCTTAAAGGTTAAAGAAAGGGGTGAGGACCAAGGGGGAATCCAGTCAGAGTCATTATCTCAGTGTGAATCTTCAGGCTCCACACCTCATCTCCTTATGCCCTTACACTTCATCTAACAAATGGAGATGTGGGGGAGCCTGGATCAGGATCTCACCAAAGTCCTCCTTCAGAGCTGGTGAGGATTGTCCCTGGGGAAATACACTGCAGAACCAATTCCCTTCCGCTTTCGTTTTTGCAAAAACCAGCACATGCTCAATATGCTCAAGGATACACTTGAAACCGGCTGAATTTGGTCCTGCGGGCAGTGATCAGCAACCTCACTCAGCTTCAGATTTCACTAGGAAAACACAGATATACCAGGAACCATAAATAAAAGAACTGGCCAACCTCTCTGTCTTTCACAATACATACGTTGGATCAATCTGGCTCATAACAGATTAGGGTTTAACAAAGTTGTTGTTTATAACAGTTTAAAATATCAACATCCTTCCCAAGTTTGCTGGAATTTTAACAACCACTTCAGTAAAGGACGGATGATGTCCTTATGCAACTCTGTGTATTTCTCAAGTGACAGAAGTCTTTGACTTTTGCCTTCAAGGACTTGTGCTAGCCAGACCCAACCCTGTGACTCTTTTGTTTCACCGTCAAAGCAACAGCCATCTAAGCAGAGCAGAAGAATGGAGACTGCTGGGTTAACAAGAACAGATCCTTGTAACAGACTCACTGTAGAGAATCAAGGAAGATTCTTGATTTTCCTGTAACTATAATAGCTGTTACTTTTTCATATATTGAACATTTCTAGGATCAGTGACTTTACAAAATGGGGGCAGGGGATATCTAAGGCATAAGCAGGCTTATCAGTAAACCAGTGTTTAAACTCGACCCTTAACTCTCATGCTAGTTTCAGGAAAGAGTATTACACAACTGAACAACAAAAACAGAACCTCAAAAAATAACCATATTAACAAATTCAGGTATTTGCATATATTACATCATGAGGTGTCTCCCAGGCAGACTTCCTAAAACTTAAAAATAAAATCCATCAAAAGGTGGGTAGGTAGAACTTTCTGCTGCAATAACTGACTGGTTTTGCTATTGAGATAACTAAGACCTAGGAACCCCCAACCAGCCAAAGAACCTACACCCTCATCAGTACAGAAACTAATCCCTCATTAGAGGTTTGGGTTAAAATCAGCGTTAAAAAAAAAAAAGTATTCATCAGTCTCAAAAGAAAACATGCACTACAAGGACAAGAGAGAACTCGATAATGGCTCAGAGGCTTCCCAGATCAAAGATGCTAGCACCTTCACTTTCCTCCAAGGAGAATGGAGGTTCAGCAATGAGTATTTCAGATTACTACATAAAGTTTTGTGGTATTTAAGTTAAGAAGCCTGCACCAAACTGAAAAGTTATGTTATTTTTACTTTTTTTTTTAAAACTCTTGAAATCAACAGTCACTAAGTGGATGATGCACATAAGTATCTTTTCATGTCATTCTTGAGTGCTCTGTAATGATGAGTAGATATACTTCCTATTTTACAAGCATACAGCAGATGCAGAAACATCTAATGTGCTGTGAAATTGGCCAAGTCACTTAATATGAGACCTAACAGTAGGACCTCCCTTTGCTCCCTGTTAAAAAACACTAGACAATGCATAAATAGAAAGGATATTAAAAAGATTAGTCTTGTTTTGTTTTTGTTCAGACACATAGCAACCTAAAAAAACAGCTAACAATTCTACTTTTTAAATATCCGTCCCTCAACTGTCCCACTATTACCCCAAGTATTCATAAAAAACCAGACTAATCACTGTCGTCCAAGATATGCAATCTGTGCTTTTAAAATATGTGAGACTTCTTATTTAGGGGGAAAAAATGATTCTAACACGTGTGCTCCCATATATCAATTTGGAACCAAAAATGGCATCTATCCTGTCTCAGAACACAAAATAAAAAATGTCTTTTCTTCATATTTAATGAGCTAAATTAACATGAATTGTCCTTTTAATGATCTGTAAATGTGGTATTCATAGCAACCTTATATTGATGACATGAGACCATTTACTGCATGGCCAATTTGTCAGCTGGCAAACACAGGGTGTTTGGGAGTGCAGGGGTAGAAAAGTAGCTACGTAGATGATAAAGCAGCAAAAAACTAAGTAGCAGAAACACAGAGAAACAGGTAAATATGTTCTAACAAACCTCTGGCCTAGCAAGATATAAAGAAAAGTCCTAAAGTAAAGAAAAAAAAAAGCAGTATTACATAGGCATTTAGTTTAATTAGACAATTAGAAAGCATTCATGATAAACAAAACCATCAATCATCTTAAACATGGATTTAGTAGATTGGCTACTCACATTTTTGTTGCAAACGCAGAATTTCAAAAATTATGCTATACGCCAAGAAAAGATAAGTCAACAATTTTATAGAAACCAGTTATTAGATTACACTCCCCTGACATTCGCCTGCACAACTCTTCTGTTTCTGTCAAAAAATGAATACACATTAGGCAATATCATCTAAATCATTGTAAACAAAGACTGCTTAGAACAAGTGTGGTCAGTAACAATATTGTTAACTTACACAAATCACAACACAGAACGTATGTGTTTAATGAAAGCATGTTGGCTCAAATCTGTGTTTTCTTTTTCAGTATTGCACTTAATGTTTGCTGTCTTCTGGAGGATCAGAAGGGTGAAAACTTCAATTAAGATGCAACTGATCCAAAACAAGATTTCGATTTTTTTATCCTTTTGACTAGGCAGACTTCCTTACTTATTTAAGCAATAAACAAGAAAAAAATAAAATAAAATATCAGTGTGTGCATATTAAGAAATAGCAAATATGATCAAAACAGGAATTCTGGCATCATAGTTTCTCTAGAGTAACAGCAGAAAAATTCTTAAAGCCAAAACAAAAAAAACTCCATCTGTTAAATCAGACTGTGTTCCATTTGTGCAAATACTGCTGAAATTCAAACCAGAGCTGTCCCATGTAAAAACATAAACAGGAAGTGGCAAAAAACACAAAATAACCCAGTAAAACTGCAATTCTCATTGTAGTCTCTAAATTTTGGGTTGTCAAACACAAGTACAACAACTCGTAACACAAAGGCCAATATTTAAGAAAACCATTTAAATGAACTTAAAATCCAAATGCACAGAATTTCCTCCTTCCTTCCATTTCAAAATTTAAGGTCTGGACTTGAAACTCAGCACTTACCAATGATCCTCTGTAAGTAAACATTCGAAAGAGATCATTAGAGCTATATGCCTCCACCTCAGAGAGACAATTTACTAAAAATTCCTAAATTAAATACAAAAAAGCAAGACAATGCAAACAATTTGCCTCTTTTTTGCAAGACAATTTATTCATAAAGTTATTAGAATTATTCTAAAAATTACCTCAGGTAACTGAGAATTTTAGTAACTGTAATTAACACATTTCTTAAGTGTTTTTGGTAAAAAATCCAATATTCTTGGATTAACTAATCCAATGGAATGCAATATGCAAACATTTACTTTCCCTCTCTCTTTGAGATTATTTTGAGGCCACTTCAAGTGGGGTCTTTTAGAAAAATACTTAAGTTTTCTGCACCTCACAATACAGTAATATCTGCTGATGTTTAGATCTACCTTCCAGTTTTGGACATGAAGTTACTCAAATTTGGGATGTGGTTACTAATGTCAGAAGTGCAACAATTACTTTCTGAAAAGAGTATGATTATGCAATGGCTGCCTCTTTCAGTGTGGAAAGAAATTTACTACCCAGATATACTGGTTTATAATTGGAGAAATATTTAAATATGAAGGTTGATTTTTTTTTCCCTGGTATTACACCAGGAAGGGTCAACAAGGATGTTAAAAATTAGATTTAATTGTCTGAAGAAGGTGAGGTGAAGTGAGCACTTGTCTAGTATCATCATTTGACTCTAACTCTAGAACAAAATTGAATATCACAGAATGTAAAAAGAGTCAGTAATAAAATAATATAGATTAAATATTCCTTACTTCTGCTAACAGGAACATACATACAGGGTTTTCTTGCTTACCAAAAGCCTTTGTAAATGACCTGATTCTATAGAGCTTCTTTTTTTTGTAGATACTGTAAACATTTAGAATTTCTAAGGCTAAAAACAGGCACAAGTCTTCCATGAACAGTTATTATTCCTAAAAGCATGAAGGAGTATGTTCCAGATCTGCTATTCCTTTTTATAACAATGGAAGTAACTGAAATATAATATTATAATTCACAATGCAGTTTCTTAATTAAAAAGAAATATAGCTTAATTGTGACAACAATTAATAATATATAGGGAATACTCCTTTTTTTTTTTTTCTTTTTTCTTTTTTTTTTTTAAATTAACTGTTACATCAAAACTACAGATTTCCAGAATCTCTGTGCTGGGTATTACTCAATTTTATAAAGTGGCAAGTTTAAGTAGTGACTAAAACATTTCAAAGTGGGTAAAATTCAACCATGTTATGTCAGTATTATTAGCACCCCGGCTTTATAATAATGTGGGTGAGACCTGCAATATCCATTTTGCAGACTATGATACCAAAGCCACATGGTAGGTGGCAGCTTTTAAAAGATGTTAGATGCTCCTCTCCATCATTTCCATGAGGTGGTTTTGTTTTGTGCCTCGTTAAGGTACCTGAGCCAACAGTCTTGTTTCAGGCTGGTTTTTTTCAAGATTTCAGAGGTTTTTCAACCTCTGTCACAGGTTCCCTTTTGCTGAGCAGCTAAGGATTTCAGCAGGCTGATTCCAATATACATTAGCAGCAATGCATTTCCAGAGACACGTTGCAAAAATATTACAAGCAATTGTCATCTAGAAGTCCTTTTTTCCTCTGCACCATTCCAAACAAAATAACTCACCACCAAGTAATCTTGAATTCATAGATAGGACGCTTGCAGTAATAGTGATTTATCAGGTGTTTATCACACACCCCGATACACTGATGATCCACAGTTATCCCTCTATCAGACAGGTCTGTCACAATACAGTGCAGAAGATCATATACATCAGCCACAGCCTCCCAGGGGCCAAAAGATACATCTACTTCGCAGTGATGTTCAAATAGCTTTGTCTCACTTTCACTCCTCTCAAAACGTAAAGAATTGAAATGTGGGCACTCATAGGGAGTGATGGGCATCTCTTCTTTGAAGACACAGACCTTCAATTTTGCAAATCTTGCTTTTCTTTGCATCGCTCTCAGCTTTGCTATTTCGATTATCCGTTCCAAATGATCTAGAAAACAATGAAGAGTTGAAAATAACAATGAAACACCTAATAAAGAAAACAAATGCAATTATTTCCTGTGAAACACGTTACTGCAGTGTTTGACAAGTTATTCTTAACATACTATTAACAGCAACAGGAAGCTGCATGTAGCTAGATATACAGTAATTAAATCAATCTCAGTTATCTTGTGAACTTGGTGTCCTTACTGGATGCCCAAGTTTATTCAGTTGCAGGTCCTAACGGAACAAATGCAGAGGCAGAGAAGCCTTCTAGTTTAATAAGCCTTGCACATTATGGCCTAGATCTTGCTCCGTTTTAAGACAGCATAAAAATCCACATCCTTGGGTGCAGCAAGAACAAATCTGATGGGGAGACCTCAAAGATCTAAAGAGCATGAAAAGGATATAATAAACTTTTCAAATACAATGCAATTAGTTGGAAAGCTGAAAGCTGAGCTGAAAGCACCATGTATACTGCTTGAATCACGCTACAAGAAACAATCAATACTACTTTGTTTATTTACCTTTGTAATATGGCATCAGGCCCAGGAAAGCTTGTCTAACTTTTTCTCCTTTCAGAGGTTGGATATCCTCTAGATTGTCTAGCAACGGTCCTATGGAAAAATACTGAGCTTCCTTGTAAACTGACCTCACTCGTTCTCGTGGTGGCAGGTCACCAGATCGTAGGAAGTTCAGTATGTCTCTAAAAAAAGGGCAAAAATATTATTAACACGTTTCTGCCAAAACTGTTGCCAGGTGGGAAAGGAGAAGAGACACTGGATATTCATTGTTTATTCTACTGATATAGAAATCCTTACGCTTAGACAGTAACTGAAATAAGTGTGGGTCCTATTTCCAACAGACGTTTTTAAAAGCATTTGCCACCTTCAAGTTTCCAAGTCATCATTTCACATTTTGCCTCTGTTAATGTCAAAAATCACTCAAAAAAATACCACGATATATTTATACAAAAAGTTGAAGGTGGAGTAACCACTTAAAATAGAAGAGGATACAGAATTTAATGAGAAAGAGATCACAGTCATTGTATTGCAAATTTAGGTCTGTGACAAAATATTATTTTCCTTTTTCCTGGAGAATCATGTGCATGGACATTTTATCCCACACAGAACCAGGATTTGAGCTGAACGGATGGTGCATTTGCAAAGGAGGTGTTCTCTTCACAGGATCAGGGCCATATAAACTTGTAGTATATATCATAATAACGAGAGAGAGAGAGAGAGAGAACATTTCCTCGTAGTTCTGAAACACTGTTAAGTGACAAGATTTTTAACAGGGAAAGAAATCACTTTAAAAGCACTAACCAACAAACCATTATTGACCATATCAAATAAAGCAGGCATTACTGCAATCTTCATTAGAATGTCAACAAATAGAGCAAGTGCTAACTTGGCTCTCTGTTCCAGCTATATTTTTAATTCAGATTGATAACATCATAAATAAACTCATTTCCCAACAAAGCAGCAGGCACTTACAAATTGCCAAATGTAAAGAAACAATTATTTTCCAATAAATATAGTGACTTAATCTATTTCTGTCTCAGATTATGGTACAATCCAAATATGCTTTGAAAATAATTCAAACCTTCTCTGTTGAAGAGATTAAGGAAATGTCTACAAAGGAACAACAAGAAATATAAGTGAAATTGCAAAGTGTGCTTTGGGCAAAGACTTTAATCCATGAACATGGACCCATGAGCACTGCTTACCTTTTCTAGCAATCTCACACCAATTCAAACAGAGAATTAGTAAAATGATGGTTAGTTTAATTAAAAATAACACAAAAGCTAAGCACACAAGAAGGAATCCTGAAGGTGAAGGAATATGGCACTACCAGTAAAAATAATCTAAAAATAACATTCTTTGAGGCTTGTGCTTTTTACCAGTTATGTTATAGCCTGTTAAACACTGAAAACACAATACTTTCAACTGTTTAAGAAATCTAGATGCATTCTTTCCATTCCCTCTTTATCATAAATACTGTAATATCAATTAAAAACCACTGTTGTACAAAAAAGCTTCCTACGAAAAGCAATGCCAAATATATACTTTTTAAAAACACCAAAATAACATGATACCTTGACATGAGATACTCTAGATGAGACAGTGCACAAATGGAAAACATTACTTGTTTTTCTTTCCCAAATTTAAAACTTAAGGACTTAAAACAAGTAGTTTTTGAATTGCAGTATACTCTTGAGATGTTTTGAAGGTGTGGACGCCAGTGAGTTACGTTTACCTACTACACAAATATGATTTAACTAGAAGGAAAAAAAGAAAGTTAAAACTTATTTTTCTTTAAAAACAATTTTCTTCAGTAACAACTTTTAAAGTATACTCCTGAGGACACCACATACCCAAAGTAGGTTCCATCTCTGTCAATAAAGTATCTGCCTTCAGCATCCGTTGGAATATAGTGTCTTCCACTGAACATCGCCGCCAACATTGTGTCCTCATAACGTCGCAGTGTTGACAGTCTTGTTGTAAAATACATGCCTCCTACGTTTAGTGGAACAACTTCTGGAAACTGCAAAAGCAATCACATCATCAGAAATGAGCCTCTAGTCCTTTGCAGACATGTTCAGGCCAAAAGGGTTACAACTTCCAGAAGATACAGCACACAGTCTTTGCCACTGGGACATAATTTGGTCCAACAAAGGCTTCCTTCCTGGCCTGCCACCAGAAAACAGTGAGGTGCAAGGGTTAACAACTTGAATACTTTGGCTGGCTTCTGGGTGTAATCAGTGAATGTTTTAAATCTAGTTAGAAATCTGAAACAGCAGTAATCACGCAGCTTTAATATCAGATATGTATTAAAAGCATGAATGACTCCTCTTGGCTGTTTTGGGGAATGAAAAAAACAAAACAAAAAACCCTCCCCACCCTTACACACCCCCACCACACCCCCACTGGTATGAAATGTCAAGCCAACCTGAGGACTTGCATTCAGTTGCTACTCTACTTGTTCCTTTACACTACTAGTCCATACTATACACTGAAAAAACCCCTGTGATTCTGTGTTTACATTAGTTTTACAGCAGACCTAAAATCTCAGTATCTCACCTCAAGATGCTGCAGTACCAGAATAAACACTTAATTGTATTTGTCAAGTCCAAACGGGGATGGAAATTCCGAGTAAGGCTGCCAAGCTACTGAAATAAAATTGAAGATACTTTATTTTATTCAACTATTTAGCTATTAATGGCAACTGAACTAGATATCCTTAAATACTCCAACAAAGAAATCCTGAATTCTTTGGCACCTGAGCAGTACGTGCTGCAGTAACTGGACCTTATCAGATTAAGAGTACCAGAGAGCTCTTACCTGCTGAGGCAGCAGAGGTAGTGCTTGTCCTGCCTGGGTCGCAGTAGGAGTGGCTGGCTCTTGGAAATCATCCTCTGCATCTGAGCTCGACATGGCATCATCCGGGTTTCCACTCACTTTGTTCTGCCCCGTAACTACCACCATCCCTCTGGCTCTCGTAAGCAGGTCTGCTGGGTAGGCAGCCGTGGCAGTGCTAAATGGGAAACAAGACCCAAATTACTCGGGCACTGTCCCCACCAGCTGCAGATCACGTGGCAGGCAAAGCGTGTAACTCTCCAGCGTTACGCTGCCAATTTACAACGGCGTTGTTATTACGGGGAAATGAATCACGGCCAAGGATGACTGTGGTGCCGAGAAACAAA